TAGGGACTGAAGGGAGGAAGGGCCTTATGTAGGCACTGTACCATTTGATCCTTGCCTCTCAGTGTATACACACAGACTTTTTTTCCTTTTTTTGGTCTGGTTGTGGAGCCTGAACTCTGGGCCTGGGTGCTGTCCCTCAGCTCTTCAGCTCAAGGCTAGCGCTCTACCACTTGAGCCACAGCGCCAATTCCAGCTTTTTTTTTTCTGCTTAGTGGTGCTGAGGAATCGAACCCAGGGCCTCAGGCATGCAAAGCAAGCGCTCTACCACTGAGCCAACTTCCCAGCCCCTCAATTAATTTTTTTCAGTCATGGTGCTTGTACTTAGGGCTTGGGCACTGTCCTTGAGCTTCTTTTGCCCAAGACTAGAGCTCCTCTACTTGAGCCATACACAGCTCCACTTCTAACTTTTTGGTGCTTAACTGGAGGCAAGAGTCTCATCTTGTGAACTTTCTCATCTGGGATAGCTTCTAACTGCGATCCTCAGATCTTATTGTTTAGGCTGGTCTCAACTTGCACTTGTGTTGTCTTTACTGTGTAAGTGCTGGGATAACAGATAGGCAACACTCATGTACCTAGCTGGTGAATTAGAAATGTTTCTTTTCAGTGCCAGGAATCAAACCCAGGGATTCATGCATGCTAGGCAAGCACAGTATATTGAGTTACACCCACAATCCCAATGGGTGTTTAAAAATACCCAAAACCTTCCTAAATAGGAAAAAATAATATTTGGCAGGAGAGGCCACAAAGCCTAAAATTTCTGCTATCTGACCTTTTATAGAGACACACTTTGATCAAGTGTGTAATCTGAAGGATGAATGAAGAAAACAGAAGAGGACCTGTGGTCTGATCCAACAATTTGTCTCTCTCTTAGTAACTACTGTCCAATGCTTCTCCCAACACGGTATTTCCAATGAGCCTCTATGAAAACCCCACATACCCTGTAAAGCAAATTCTAAGACCAAGAGGCTGTAAGAATGTGGGAAATCTAAGAAATTCACACTCAGCTTCTTGAAGCTGCTGGTTTGCCACCACTGGTGCCTGCCCCTTTAGTAACCTGGGCAAGCTGCATGTTGATCCTCAGTCTTACATTACAGGGACCTCAAGTGAGTAGAAGTATCAAAGTATCATCCCACAGACAGAGATCTTGTAATCTTTTTTTTTTTTTGGGGGGGGGTCCGGTTGTGGGGCCTGAACTCTGGGCCTGGGCGCTGTCCCTCAGCTCTTCAGCTCAAGGCTAGCGCTATACCACTTGAGCCACAGCGCCACTTCCGGCTTTTTCTTTTTGCTTATGTGGTGCTAGGGAATCGAACCCTGGGCCTCATGCATGCAAGGCAAGCGCTCTACCACTGAGCCACCTTCCTAGCCCCTTTTCTTTTTTTTTGGTCCGGTCGTGGGGCCTGAGCTCTGGGCCTGGGCGCTGTCCCTCAGCTCTTCAGCTCAAGGCTAGCGCTCTACCACTTGAGCCACAGCGCCACTTCCGGCTTTTTTCTTCTTGTTTATGTGGTGCTGCGGAATCGAACCCAGGGCCTCATGCATGCAAGGCAAGCGCTCTACCACTCAGTCACCTTCCCAGCCCCTTTTCTTTTTTCTTATGTGGTGCTGAGGAATCGAACCCAGGGCCTCAGGCATGCAAGGCAAGCACTCTACCACTGAGCAAACTTCCCAGCCCAAGATCTAGTAATCTTATGTGCATACACAGTTCAAGATTTTGTGCAAAAGCACTTTTTTTTTGGTCTGGCTGACTGTAAGGCTTGAATTCAGGGCCTGGGTGCTGTCCCTGAGCTCTCTTGCTCAAGGCTAGCACTCTACCACTTTGAATCACAGTTCTACTTCTGGTTTTTGAGTGATTAATTGGAGACAAATAGTTTCACAGGGATTTTTCTGCCCAGGCTGGCTTTGAACCATGATCTTCAGATTTTAGCCTCCTGAGTAGCTAGTATTACAGGTGTGAGCCATCAGCGCACTGCTATACTTTTGATTTTTTTTTTTGGGGTCCAGTCGTGGGGCCTGAACTCTGGGCCTGGGTGCTGTCCCTCAGCTCCTCAGCTCTTCAGCTCAAGGCTAGTGCTCTACCACTTGAGCCACAGCGCCACTTCTGGCCTTTTTCTTTTTGCTTATATGGTGCTGAGGAATTGAACCCAGGGCCTCAGGCGTGCAAGGCAAGCGCTCTACCACTGAGCCACCTTCCCAGCTCCAATATACTTTTGATTTTTATAATCAAGGCTTTCAGCCTTGAATATCAATTTAAAAATATTTGCTAAGCTACTATGTACAAAAGCAAGCTACATGTTTCCAAGAATATAAAAGTAGAGGACATGAATTCTCCAAGGAATATAAGATCTTTTGTGGAAGCGAGGAGGGGGGAGATCCAACAAGATAGTACAAGTTCTAAAGAAAGATGAGACCAGCCTTCACTTTGTAATCACCCCATGAAACATTTATAAAAGAGCAATTAGGAGGTGCCTGGCTCTCTTCAAAGTAAAAAGAAATTTCTTTACCCCACTCCCCCCGCCCCCACCATTGGTATCTGTATGGTCCCTATATCACCATGAGGGCCAGCCCAACTCCTCTCCAGGCTAATGCCTCCTAGATGTGATCTCAAACAGCTGCCATGTGAACTATGTGGGAACTTTATTATACCATAAGTTAACTGCGGACTATAATGTCCTATTACCTTGCACAGTCCTGCCACAAAACAAGCACTCTGTAAGAGTTTATTGACCCCTGCATGAACACAACTGGTAGTTTTATGGGAGACTTCTCAATCATTTACCTTGTTTTACAGAAGACAAATTATTTTCCTAGAAGAGGCTCAGGATTTTTGTTTATACATGTCTTTACCTCTATAGATTACATGTATAGGGGAGGAGCAATACTCTTTTTTTGTTTCGGTTTTGCATTGTGAGATTTTCGTAATGAATGCTGTATTAATCAATTACTGGCACTGAATAAAGATACTAGATGCTGTAGTAACTTGTAGAAGGAAGAATGAATTAGATGATCCTGAAAGCCTTTTTTAGCACTATGACCTATGTATGTCTATTTCATTATTTGGGGAAATAAGAACAGGCACAGGCCAGTGCCAGTGACTCATGCCTGTATTCCTAGCTACTCAGGTGACTGATATCTGAGGATCGTAGTTGGAAGCCAGCCCAGGCAGGAAAGTCTGTGAGACACTTATTTCTAATAAACTATTCAGAAGGGTCTGGGAAGGTAGCTCAGTGGTAGAGTGCTTGCCTTGCATGCATGAAGCCCTAGGTTCTATTCCTCAGCACAACATAGGCAGAAAAAGCTGGAAGTGGCACTGTAGCTCAAACGGTAGAGTGCTAGCCTTGAGCTGAAGAGCTAAGGGACAGTGCCCAGGTCCAGAGTTCAGGCTCACGACTGGTGGGGGGAGGGGAAGAAGGGAGGGAGGGGGTGAGGGGGGTGGACAGAAAAACAAACACTCAGAAAAAAACAGGAAGTGGCGGGCTGGGAAGGTGGTAGAGTGCTTGTCTTGCATGCATGAGGCCCTGGGTTCAATTCCTCAGCACCACATAAGCAGAAAAAGCTGAAAATGGCGCTGTGGCTCCAGTGGTAGATGCTCGCCTTGAGCTGAAGAGCTGATGGACAGTGCCCAGGGCCAGAGTTCAAGCCCCACCAACCAGAAAACAAAACAAAACAAAACAGGAAGTGGTGCTGTGCCTCAAGTGGTAGAATGCTAGCCTTGAGCACAAAAAGACTCACAGACAGTGTGCAGGATGGTCCTGAGTTCAAGCCAGGGCAAGCCAAAAAATAAAATAAAATAACAGGTAGTTGGGGGGTAGTGGGGGTGGGAGATGGGAAGAGATGGGAAGGGGAAACAAAGAAGGAGGCAACAATGCTTGACAAGAAATGTACTCATTACCTTGCCCATGTAATTGTAACCCCTCTGTAAGGTATTTTCACAATTAAAAAAAAAAAAACGTGGGGCTGGGAAGGTGGCTCAGTGGTAGAGCGCTTGCCTTGCATAGCTGAGGCCCTGGGTTCCATTCCTCAGCACCACATAAACAAAAAAGCTGGAAGTGGTGCTGTGGCTCAAGTGGTAGAGCACTAGCCTTGAGCTGAAGAGCTGAGGGACAGCGCCCAGGCCCAGAGTTCAG